TTTGCTTTCCATTCTTCCAGTCTGACGATAACCACCCGCTCTCCAGCCAAGGCTCCAGCTCACCATGCTGAAATTCAGAAGATATTTGATCACGTAAGTGGAATTTTTATTAATTTAAGTAAAACGCTATTTCCTTCAGTAAAATTCTATTTCCATCCTACCCAGAGGTCACGTCCTTGTAGGTCCCTCCGTGTTGAGAAACGGTTGGATATCGAAGTGATGATGGGAATGGGCAGAGGAGCGCTGCTGCTCCACGTAGATGCAGGGAGGTCTGGGTTGGTGGGGCTCTCTCTTCTGGGGAAGCTCCAAGGGCAGCACTGCTCCCCTGCGTGCTCGGCAGGAAAACGGCATCTTCGGTAGGGCCTGGTGCCCCAAAGGAAGGACAATGGCAAAGACCTTGGCGGGGCAAGTAGGATGTTGATCCCTCCTGCCTCATCCCAGGTGAGGGCTCACGGCTTTCAGCTCTACTCGCCCACCTGTGGAGTAGATGTGGAGCAGAAACGCGTCTCTGTCCAAGTCTTTTACACTGCCAGCCCCACGAATGCATCTAAGGTGAGGTGTGCTCTTCCACAGCCTCTATTTTGGAGAGGATGGACAAGGAGTAGAGAAGGGCAAGGCTTGACTTCGCAGAAGTCTTCTTTTGCTGGGGGAGAGCATTTCGGAGTAGGACAGCCTTTCCACGCCTGGGGTGCCGCACACCAGGCTGCAGTGCTAGGAGGCTCGGGGTTTTTCCTAACCCAGCTGTTTCAAGGGTAGGTTGGGCATCCACACAGGCAGGCAGTGCCGTTGTGCCCTCGCTGCGCTATCTTCTCTTCTTCTGAGCGTCCTGCAGACTGTTGTCCCTGTTTTCTCATTTATCGCGATGCAAGTAAAGAAAATGACTCCAATCGTTGGTTGGAGGAAGCGGACTATTGCTAGTATACATATCGTGTACATTAATTCCCCGTGCAACATTGCTCGCTGCCTGGAGCATATCTAGCCACAGCAAATCAATAAATTCATTTTCTGCCACCTATCTGCACGGTGAACTCGGCCTCAGCACCTCCCGCGGTACCCGGCAGTCAGCTGAGACCCTGCACGGCTCAGCAAGTGCCAGCCAACCACAGACCCATCCTGACCAGCGCATTTATTTTTGTGTTGGACATGAAAAGGGCACAGATCGGAGGGAAGCAGGTCGTCCTCTCTGCTTCAAGCAGAGGGGAAAAAATGGTGGGGAAATCTGCAGTACCGCTGCAACCGAGCAGCATCTCCTTCCAAGCAGCATCCCCACTCCTGCCAGGAGCAGGCAGTGAGACACGGCTGGGGGCATCATCCCTTGCAAATAAATGACCAACAGATTGGGGTTTGATTAAATCCATTGAGCCAGCGTAGAAGGATTCAGCTGCTGAGCCCTCGCATCTTTGGGGTGCTGCATCCCCACGGGGTGTCACCTCCACCTTTGGAGGTGACAGCACACAGGCTGTGATCTGCATGGGCTCTTCAGCTATAGCCCACCCGCAGCCGGAGGCATTTCCAAAGAGGTTGCAGGTTGCTCTCTCAGCCTGACCTGCCCTACGGGGCAGTATGGACTCCCACCAGCTCCAAGAGCATCTTGGACATCTCCCTGGTGCTTTGATCTCAAGTATTTAACTCTGCCCCAAGACACCCGTGCCCGTGATCTCATCCTGGCATATTGAACTGAGAGAGGGCTGTGAAGGAATTACCCACGGAAAGCAGGTGAGCGTTTTGAAGGCTTCTTGTCCAGCTACAAATCATCCAGCTGCTCCAGCCTCCAAGACAGAGGCTTCTCATGCTACATGGGCCATTTTTATCCTGGTTTTTGCCGCCTTCAGTGCAACTTCTTGGCATCTTCAGTGCAAACTTCAGTGCTGTCACAGCTCTCCCTTCCTCAGCGCATCCTCCTTGGTGCACGTGTGGTGTCCCACCAGAGCCAGCCTGGAGGAAGGGCTCAGGCTTTATGCTAGCCTGATCAGACCCAAGCAGCTGGCAACAGGTCACGTGTTCTCAACTGGTCGTTCAACCAACACAACGGCCATGTCAAAAGAGGCAGCATGCTAGCAGCAAAAGGACCTGGATCTTTCACAGATTCTCTACAGGTTGAAAGTTTAGTACCGACCAGGGACCTCTGTGGAAGCAAGTCCAGAATTATATCTGCACAAAATACAGATACTGGAGTAGCAGAGGGTGCCACCTACCTCAGCACCGCCTGCCAGGGAAGCGTTGCATCATTCTGCCTTTGCTACTGGGTGCTTGTGCAGATTTCCCCAAAGAAGGAGTTTGGGTATATTGGTAAATATCAGTTAGTTAGCTCTTCATTCCCTTCTTGCCACTTTTCCTAGGCTGGCCAGGCAGACAAACTTATCATCAGCTGTGCCTTGAGTGATGGGACAGTTGGATCAAGTCTCCAACAAGGTCTGTCCAGCAGCATCACTTCATCCTGGAGCAACTCCTCCTTCACTGCCTTCTCCCTCTTTGGTCTCTCTAGCCATCAGATATCTTCCACATGGGATATTTCAACCCTCCTTGCCTTGCAGCAGCCCCGGGGCAGCCTCGAGTCTCCGATTCAACCCCCTCCTTTTAACGTGCCTCGGCATTTTTAAGCGCCGTTTAAGCATTTGGCATTTTTCTAATCTGATGCACGTCATACCCATTTATCTTTGACAGCACGAGGGTCTCCTTGTGCCGCTTGCGTGGCCCGGCAGCGAGCCGTGCGCTCGTGTGCCAGCTGCCTGTCTCTCATCCGAGCTTGGCGCTCTGCTCCTCAAGTGGAAGGTGAGCGTGGATACCTCCAGGTTGCCATCAGGTTTTGAGGATGCTGTGCTGCTAACGACTAGCTTCTTCACCGTGCCAGTAATTACGTGCCTTTCGAATCTTCAGTAGCACCGTCATGACCTCAGACCTCCCAGCCTTTGCAGTCCCAAGTGCTTCAGACATGAAAAATCTCTTTAGCATTTCAACTCAGTAAGTGACGTTTATCGAGAGCAGGGCAGAACCGTACCCGTGAGGGTCCAAACTGATGGGCAACCACTGGAAGTAGTGCTGTAATAACCAAATTACTGTTAGTTTGTACAGCCAATGATTTTTGTGGAACTCATCCAGTTTTTCAACTGACCGCTTCAGACAGCCCGTGTTTGCGTCATTGCTAGCTCATCAAGCTCGTACTTCTCCCACGTGTCACAAGACCGCCCGGGGTAGGAGATAAAGCACCACAGAGATGAAGAAGCTCTGGGACAAGCAGGTCCGGGCAGTCCCAGGCCCACTCTCTTGGTCCAAAACTGACCCCTGAAGGAAGTGAGCAACACCAACAGACATCGATTAGCTGTCAGAACAGGGCTTCAAGCAGGCTCTCCCCAAATTTCTGCTTTCACTAATGCCACCTATTTAGATCCCTCCGTTTCGTGCTCGGCGAAGCAGCCTGTGCCAGACATCTGGGGCTTGCAGGCTGGACTCCCACCCGAGGAGGAGCTCACAACAGAGGACTTTACCAGATTCTCAGTACAAATCATCTCCTGTTAGGCAACAATAGGGGTAGAAACCTGGGTAGAAACCAGCAGAAATGAAATGCAAGCTAATCCTTTTTTCCAGGAAGCTTAGCCCCCCGACTGCTCCGCTTAAGATTAAGACTAAGATTAAGACTAGGATCAAGCTCCACCAGGGTTTGCAGCAAGCCCTACAAACAGTACAAGTCCCGTGGCAATGTTTTTCATCGCCTGAATGTCCCCACACATAACCCAAACCCCCATAGCGTAGTGCTGATGACTTGAAGAAGTCACGCTGCCATCGTAGACTGGGCTAAAACCAGACTAAGAGCCAGGTCACGCACCGGAGAGGCACAGCTGGGGCTCCCACAGGAGCATCACATCTGCAGCCACAGCTGGAGCCTGCGCAGGTGGCAATCACCTCCAACGGCAGGCATCGAGAGGAGGGGAGAGCAGGGAAAACAAGGCTTTATTGTCTTTGTTTATAAAGATAGGGTCCCGATATTTCTAGGCCAGGCAGGGCAAGGAAAACACAAGCAGTGCCTGTTCCTGCCGCCGAAGCGGGAGCTCAGGCTGTGCCGGTAAGGCGTCCCTGAGCGGCCAAGGGACTTTACGGTTATCGCTGTTTACCTTTCAGTGTGATATTTGTATCCCAGCTGGAAATTTCCACTAGGCTACACTGCTTCAGCACAGTCTCTGGGGTTCGTTGGTTATCGCTGCCTCTGCACCCCTTGCACCCACGAAAACGTGACTTTACCTTAAAAAAAAAATTTAATAAAGTCTCAAGGCATCTTCCTCTGCCTCACACACGCTTTTTTTCTACCTACTAATGGTCTGAAACGTCTGCTTCCTTGCAGGAAGTTGAAAGCAATATACAGGTGCCAGCCAGGTCGACTCTGGGTCTTCTTCAGCCTCCTCATCCTCCTCGTGGTCACGCTTCAAGTTGTGGAGAAGATGCAGCCTCCCAAGTAGGTCCCAAGCAGGATCGCAAACCTGCACCTCATCCTCCAGCCTTTCGCTGACCACTGAGGTGGGCTCAAAATCGCTCTCCTGAAAACCACCTGATAGTCTCTTCTTTAGACAAGGAGGAAAATCCAGGTGGGAGAGGACCCCTCTGGGGCTCTCACGCCCGACCCCTACACCCTGGCCAGAGCTCAGCCCGCTCTGGATTCAGACGAGGCTGCTCTGGGCTTTGTCCTGGCTGGCCTCGAAACCCCACAGCACTTGAGCATCCTCCCAGTCCTCCTGATCTGGGGTCATCTGCAAACTTTCCTCCAGCTTCTCCAGCCTACCTGCTCTTCTCTCTGCTTGCCTCCTCTTGCTTTGCCCCTTTCCACCTGCTCCAGCAGGACAGGGGCATCAGCCCATCGCTGCTGACCTGTCCTTCTCTTCCG